CCTAGCTACTCAGGAGGCTGAGATCTGAGGATCATGGTTCAAAGCCAGCCCAGGCAGGAAAGACCGTGAGACTCCTGTCTCCAATAAACTCCTAGAAAACCGGAAGTGGTGCTGTAGCTCAAGTGGTGGAGCGCTCGCCTTGAGCTAAAGAGCTGAGGGACAGCGCCCAGGCCCAGAGTTCAAGCCCCATACCAACAACAACAACAACAAAAAAAACCCCAAATATCGCGTTTTAACTAATATGGAATCTGGGCCTAAAACGGTGGTGGTGGTGGTGATGATGATGATAGAATATGAATGTAAAAGGGGATCATGTTGGGAGTGCCATCCAGTAGCAGGAACAAAGAAAGGATACTGAGAGGTGAAGAGGATCGAAGTATGTTGTATAAACGTAGACTATACATATATACATGTGTGATACATACACATATATAAACACAGCATAATGCTATGTCCTGGTGGCTCAAGCCTGTAATCCTAGCTATAAGCTCCAGCCCAGAAAAACTACATAGACTCAGTCACATACAGAAAAGGAGTTTATTTACCAGCTGAGACTAACAAGGCCACCTCTCCCACGAGAGAGGAAGAAATGGCATCTATCCTTTGTTCAGGGTGAAATTTATAGTCAGGGGCTAGAGGTGGGAAGTAAAGGAAGTCCTTTACTAAGGATGGCACGTAGCTGGGTGAGTTTTCTGATGTAACAGTCACAGTTAGGCAGCATGTCATGATACAGCTGGGGGTTAGGGGTAAAACAGGGCTCTGGGAAGTGAAGTGGGAGGAGCGGCCAGGGCTGAAGGCCAGCGGCAGTTAGGCCTAGCCAGATCAACTGCTTTTGTGGGAGGGGCTGAGGACCTGAGATGGAGGGCATGCTAACACTAGCTACTCAGGAAGCTGAGATCTGAGGATTGAGGTTCAAAGCCAACCTGGGCAGAAAAGTCCATGTGGGATTTAGCTACGATTCAAAAACCGGAAGTGGGCTGGGAATGTGGCTTAGTGGTAAAGTGCTTGCCTAGCATGCACGAAGCTCTGGGTTCCATTCCTCAGTATTACATAGCAGATAAAGCCTGAAATGGCAATGTGACTCAAGTGGTAGAGCACTAGCCTTGAGCAAAAGAAGCTCAGGGATGTGCTCAAGCCCGGTGTTCAAGCCCCAGGACTGGCACACACTCACACACACACACACACACAACACAAAAAAAAATCAAAATGGCACTATGGCTCAAGTGGTAGAGTGCTAGCCTTGAGCACAAAGAAGCTCAAGGACAGAGCTCAGGCCCTGAGTTCAAGCCCTACAACTGGGGCGTGCGGGGAGGGGAGGAAGACAGCATAATGAAACTCACAGACACTAAAAAATCTAGGAGATGTGGGAGGGTTTAGGGATATAATGGGAGGGGCAAGCTTGTTTCAAGTACACTGTTCACATCTATGGAGTTATTCCAACAACTCCCCCCTTCTTCCGCCCCCCCCCACCTTGCATTGTTAATGCTAGTTGTAACAACTCCAATAACAACAACAATAGAAGTCCTGGAAGGCACATGGGCTGTGGATCCCCATATTCTCCCTAAGCTAATGTTTGGGAAGCCATGGAGTGGAAGGCTTTCCTTGAACTCTGAGGCTCTTGAACTAGATAATTGTATATTAGTTTCCTAGAGTCCATAACTGGGTACTTGTATGTGAATGATTTGGTGCTTAGGCCTCCAAGAAGTAGGCAGACCAGCAGGGAGTTCAGGTTATCATTGTTACCAAGGTAGATTGCTCTAGGCATCAGTGGCTTACACCTATAAACTTAGTTACTCAGGAGATTGATATCTGAGGATCAATGTTAGAAACCAGCCTGAGCAGGAAAATCCTTGAGATTTTTTTTTTTTTTTTTTGGTCGTAGGTCTTGAACTCTGGGCCTGGGCGCTGTCCTCAGCTCTTCAGCTCAGGACTAGAGCTCTACCAATTGAGCCACAGCCCACTTCCTGTTTTCTGTTTTCTGGTGGTTAATTGGAGATAAGAATCTCACGGACTTTCTTGCCCAGGCTGCCTTTGATTCATGATCCTCAGATCTCAGCCACCTGAGTAGCTAGGATTACAGGTGTGAGCCACCAGCACCAGCTGAGATTCTTTTTTTTGGAGGGGGGGCCGGGGGGGGGTGTGGTCGTGGGCCTGAACTCTGGGCCTGGGCACTGTCCCTCAGCTCTTCAGCTCAAGGCTAGCACTCTACCACTTGAGTCACATCGCCACTTCCAGCTTTTTTCTTTTTGCTCATGTGGTGCTGAGGAATCGAACCCAGGGCCTCATGCGTGCAAGGCAAGCGCTCTACCACTGAGCCACCAGCTGAGATTCTTTTCTCTGATTAACCACCAAAAAACTGGAAGTGGAGCTGTGGCTCAGGTGTTAGAGTGTTATAACCTTGAGTGAAAGTAAGGAACAGTGGCCAGGCCTTGAGTTCAAACCCCAGGAATGGCACAAAAATAAATAAATAGATAGAGATATTGCCCTTGTTGTTTTTTTAGAAATCTTGTCTGACACAATGTTGAAAGGAAACTTCCTAGGCTTAGGAAGACTGCGTCTGTCTGAAAGGAATGTGGCTTCAGGAAAGCACCGAGGGCTCTCCACTGGCCCATTTGTCCACTCCATCAGTACAGCAAGGAACACACTTTGGGAGCAAGTTGGTATACCCTGAGGTCCTGGCTGAAGCAGAGGGATTGTCAGAAGGACAGGAGAAAGAATGTCAGTCATAGGTCAGAGAGGCAATGATGACTCGGTGCAACCGAGGATTCAATCTTTCCTCTGACTAGAATGGTCTTCTAGCACACCTTCCCTACCTTAAACCTTCTAGAAGCATGATGTCCTGGTAGAATGTGGGTACTAGGGCTAGACATTCTGGGTTCCAAATTCTGGTGATAGCACTTCATAACGCCCTATGTAAATTATATAAGGTGGGAGTCATACCTGCTTTGCAGAGTTGTGAGAATTTGAAGTTCTTGGCCCCTAGTGCATTCACCTGTGTATCATTTGTGTAGAACGCAGAAAGTTTTGAAGGACAGAGATTGATGAGGAGCAGAAGGGCAGAGAGGAGAGGAGCGCAGAACTACCACCAAAAACTGTAAAAGGCTCATTTTAATGCAAGATAGGAAGGTCTGTTTCACATGAGAGCAGGTGCTAAAATGTAAGCTCCTTGCTATTGAAAACCTAAGATTTGGATTGGAATGTCGGTTTTTGTTGTTGTTATTTTGTTTTGTTTTTTGGTCCTGGGGCCTGAACTCTGGACCTGGGCACTGTCCCTCAGCTCTTCAGCTCAAGGCCAGCACTCTACCACGTGAGCCACAGCACCACTTCCAGCTTTTTCTGCTTATGTGGTGCTGAGGAATTGAACCCAGGGCCTTATCCATGAGGAGGCAAGCACTCTACCACTGAGCCACCTTCCCAGCCCCTGGCATGTTTTAAGTGATAGCCAGCAAGTACAAAGCCCAGGGTGCAAACCAAAGGAACAAAAACCCTCACATTCAGATTACAGAATTTTCTTAAGATGGAATAAAGATAAAGCCAGATTAGTGATTCTTAACTTTGAGAGGGTGACTCATAGCTATAATCCTAGCTCTTCAGGAAGCTGAGATCTTATAATGGAGTTTGAAGCAAGCCTGGGCAGAAAAAAGTCCTGTAGACTCTATCTCCAGTTAACCAGTAAAATGCAAGACTGCAGCATAGTATAAGTGGTAGAGTGCCAGCTATGAGCAAGAAAGCTGAGTGAGTATGAAACCAAGAAGTTCAGGCCCCAGTATCAGCACCTCCCCCCACCCACACCCACACAAAATAGTAACTGTGTAAGTCACAGATGCCACTGAAAATCTGATCAAAGTTAGAGATCCTCTTCCCTAGAAAAATGGCCCAAAGCATAACATTTTGCAAAAAAGTTTAGGAACTTCATGGATCCTGGGTAACAGTCATCTGAAAAGTCTTTTAGCCGGGTGCCAGTGGCTCATGCCTGTAATCCTAGCTACTCAGGAGGCTGAGATCTGAGGATCACGGTTCAAAGCCAGCCCTGGCAGCAAAGTCCATGAGACTCCTATCTCCAATAAACCACTTGAAAACCTGAAGTGGCGCTGTGGCTCAAGCAGTAGAGCGCTTGCCTTGAACTGAAGAGTACAGGGACAGCGCCCAAGCCCAGAGTTCAATCCCGACGACCAACAACAACAACAAAAAGTCTTTTAGTATCTTCTAGCAGGCTATGTTCAGCTTCCTGTTTTAGTAATGTTGGAAGTGAGGGAGCAAGCACTGCTGCCTTCTTCTGAACTCTAGAATATATAGCTTGGGCTGGGAAGGTGGCTCAGTGGTAGAGTGCTTGCCTTGCATGCATGAGGCCCTGGGTTTGATTCCTCAGCACCACATAAGCAGAAAAAGCCAGAAGTGGCACTGTGGCTCAAGTGGTAGAGTGCTAGCCTTGAGCTGAAGAGCTGAGGGACAGCGCCCAGGCCCAGAGCTCAGGCCCCATGACTGGCAAAAAGAATATATAGCTCATCTGCACACCTGGTTACATCTAAAAGCTTGGTGTCTTTTTTGCCACATATTAAATGTTCTACATGGTTTTGATAAGTCTGTGAAGAAATTAATCGGATTTTTGTGGGTTTCTGTTTTTTGAGGTCGGGTCTCACTATGTAGCCCAGGCTGACCTTGCTCCTAATCCACTTACCTGAGCCTCCTGAGTGCTGGGATTTCAGCATTTGCCACCAAGCTCTTGAGCTGAACCTTAAGGCAAAGCATATGTATGATACAAGAAGGAGAAGGGGGCAGAGGAAAAAAAGTAAATGAAGGTTTAGAAAACAAAGCCCAACATAGAATGACCAAAAGTAGAGAGGGCTAATCAAGGCTTGAGAAAAGGTGGACTTTGGGAGCCTGCACTCCAGCCCCTTATCCAGGGCTGAGTGAGCCCAGGTGAGCTTCTAAAGGGAAGACTGTATGGGAGCCCTCACCCCCAGTTCCCCACCCTAGTATCTTGTGCCAGAAGAAAAATCATTGATAATCATGGTAGCCACAGCCATGGCCAGAGGATCCTCCAATTTGACTGAAACCTCTTTTTCCTTGTGAACTTAAATCTCAGTTTATTAGGTAACCACTCATTCCATTTACCCTCAGTAATGAGCTATTAAATGAATTATGTTAAGGGCTTTTTCTCTTAAAGTATCATTATTCAAAGAATAGTTGATTGCTGTCACAATCCCCAGAAGAAAAGATCCTGACCAAGAATGGAAGGATTTCTCCATGGGTAAATTGAAGTGACATCTCTCAGGGGTGACCTGGTCCTTCTAGTTTGTCTGAGCAAGAATAATTTGCTTGATATCTTCCAGAATTCCTTCTCTCCCAGACCCATCCACTCTCACCAGGCCACAAAGGTAGCCCTGGAACTTGGGCGGGACTTTAGCAGGCTCTGCAGGCTCTGCAGGACCTCGGGCAGCCCCTGGCCAGTGAGGGCACTGCAGCCCCGAAGCTCCCAGCAGTGATCTGGGAACCTCTCCAGGCCAAGCCTGCTTCTGATCTCAAGCAGTGGAAGAGCACCAGGCGACTCCTGCTTGTTGGCCAGCACCAAGAAAGGAACCCGGGCCACATTGGGGTCCTCTAGGACTTCAGTGAGCTCAGCCACTGCCTCAGGCAAACGGGATTCATCAGTACTGTCCAGCACGTACACAAGGATATCTGTACCTTCCAGGTAGTCCTTCCAGGTGGCCCTAAGCTGGGTCTGTCCTCCCACATCCCACAGAATCAATGACATGTGACCAGGAGTTTCAAGAGGCTCCACGTTGAAACCAATAGTGGGCAGGGTCTCTACCAGCTGATGGCCTTTCAGCTTGTACAGGATTGTGGTCTTGCCTGCTGAGTCAAGGCCCATCATCACCACCTGGGCTTCTGCCTTGTGACCTCTGGAATTCACAGAGCCCATGGTGGCCACAGCGCAATGCTAAGGAGAGAAAGTCCAGGGCACACATAAACAGCCAGGGCTAGCCTTTTCCGAAAGAACACAAAGCCCTGTGCAGGCAAATGGAAGAGCTTCTGTTCCAAAACAGTGCAAGTCTTTACATTTGCAAAACCAGGCCTGGGCTCTGACAGGTCCAGGAAGTGAAGGAGTGTGAGTCACCACCAGCTGACCGATCTTGATCTCAGGGACCCGCCTCAGAGAAGAGTGCCCGATCTCCTAAAACACACAGAACGGGGGCTTGTTCCTTCATTTTGCAAAGAGCAAAATGAAGCTGCCGTTACAGATTTTTTCACAGAAATGGCACAAAGGTATCTTCAATTCTTTCTTGTTTGTGGCCTCTGATCTCTGTTTTGCCTTCTAGAAAGCTAAACCCAGAAGTAGCAGCTACATGGAGTTCCATGTAAAGTAATGAGCTGGGTCAGCTGGACTCTGGTGGTTCATGCCCACAATCCTAATCAGGAAACTGAGATCTAAGGATCACAGTTCGAAGCCAGCCTGAGCAGAAAACTTCATATTATCTCCAATAAGTTACTCCTGCTCCCTTAAAAAAAAAAAAAAAAAAGATGGCCGGGCGCTGGTGGCTCTCACCTGTAATCCTAGCTACTGAGGAGGCTGAGATCTGAGGATCATGGTTCAAAGCCAGCCCAGGCAGAAAAGTCCGTGAGACTTTTATCTCCAATAAACCCCTTAAAAACTGGAAGTGGCGCTGTGGCTCAAGTGGCAGAGCATTTGCCTTGAGCTGAAGAGCTGAGGGACAGGGCCCAAGCCTAGAGTTCAAGCCCCACAACCGACCAAAAAAAAAAAAAGATGGAAGTAGAACTGTGGCTCAAGCTGTAGAGTACTAGGTTTGAGCAAAAGAAGCGCAGGGACAGCACCCTGACATCAGTTCAAGCCCAGGATGCGCACATACCACATACAAGCAGCCAAGAAGCAAGAAGCCAGATTGGCTCATGTTGCTTCTCCTTAGATCATCCTCAGGAGCAGCATGCCTGGCTGTCCATAGTGTCTGATTGGGGGAAAATGTGTGAGTCACAGCCAAGGATTTGCCCCCCACTTCTTATTGAGGCCAGTGGCCTCCAGAACAGTCTATGAGTTTTTAAAGAACTTCAACTTTTAAAACATAACACCATCCCCAGTTTAGGACAGAAAAAGGGGCATCTTACCTCTTGGAGTGTGTTATCAGCTGTTCTTGGCGCAAAGGATCAAGTTCATATAGGGCAGAAGAGTAAAACATTAATATTATGAGAGAGAGAGAGAGAGAGAGAGAGAGAGTGTATGTAGCAGGACAGTCCTCCTCCAGAACTCTCTGCCATCTGGCTTTCTGTTTATCGGGCACATCCTAGAGACAAGAGATGAAGGAAGTACTGTGGCTGTTGCAATTTCTCCTTTTTTCTGCTTCCTTTTTCCAGGTGGTTGTGGGGGTGGGACATCTTCCTCCTGAGGACATGTCGCAGAGATGTCCCCATCAGCTCTTGGTGAAGCCAGGCCCAGCACCCACTCCTGCCCTGCATGCCTGAAGAAGAGCATGCAAGCTGTGCCAGCTGCAGCTGCTCTCTTTTGCTCTTCCTTGTGCCTCCCTCCAGTAGCGAGTCGCTAGCACATGCATCAGTGCTTTGTTTACTTGGAACCAAAGCAACTCGCCAGAATCAAGATGGAGTTACTTTTGCCAAGTCCTAACCAGAAATAGATAGATAGGCAAATAGATAGATAGATAGATAGATACATACATACATACATATATACATACATGCATGCATGCATAAAATAATAAGGGTATCTCATGCATGTAGGTCTGTTAAGAATTATTCAGTGGAATAATTATTATAATAATTAAAATAAATATTCTACTGGAATCATACCTAACATACAAAATACTTCTGCCCAGGAACTGTCTGTTTAATATTGTTTCAAAACATGTTTATGCAATCTTCATTTTTCTCTTTAGAAACTTTCTCTTGGACTGAGGGCATGGCTCAAAATGGTAGGGCTCTCATCTAAAGTGTAAGGTCCTGAGTTCAAACCCCCAGCATCACCACCACCAATACACACACACACACACACACACACACACACACACACACACACCCCACCACCACCACCACCACCAAACCACAAAAACTTCCTCTTGAGCCAGCCATAGTGGTAAATTACAGCCATAGTGCTGTAATTTAAGCATTTAGGAGGCAGAGGCAGGGGGATTGCAAGCTTGAGGCCAGCCTAGTCTACATAGCAAGATCCTGTCTCAAGAACCACAGCCACTGCTGCTTCAACCTTCTTGAGTAAGTACAGTTTACTGTGGCACACCCATTCCCATTGCAGTGCTCTGCTGTTCCCAAACACCATCATTAGACTTTGGAGCATCTGTCTGGCTGTTATTTAGGTTGATAGAGCTGTATATGCTTTAAAACATTGCCTCAGTATGATTAACACACTGCAGAGAATTGATAATGTATGTTGAGGTAAAACATAAAAATTAGAAATTGTATTAGTGTGATGGAACTGTGAACTATTAAAGGTATTGTTTAATTTTCTTGGTTTTTCCTTGTTGGTTGTGGAGCTTGAACTCTGATCCTGGGCGCTGTCCCTCAGCTCTTCAGCTAGCACTCTACCACTTGAGCCACAGCGCCACTTCTGGTTTTCTGAGTGGCTTATTGGAGATGAGTTTCATGGACTTTCCTGCCTGGACTGGCTTTGAACCACAATCCTCAGATCTCAGCCTCCTGAGTAGCTAGGATTACAGGTGTGAGCCACCAGTGGCCCAGCTGTATATTTACTTTTTATGACAGTACTGGGACTTGAATTCAGGGCCTTGAGCTCTCTGTTTTTTCACTCAAGACTAGGGCATGACAACTGGAGCAGTATTTTTATTTCAGCTTTTTGCTGGTTATTTGGAGGTAAGATTCTCTTGGATTTGTTTGAAGGAACTGGCTTCTAACCTTGATCCTCATACCTCAGTCTCTTGAATAGCTAGGATTACAGGTATGAGCTGCTGGCACCCAGTGCATTCTATTTTCTTCAGATATTATTTTTCATTGGAAAAACCAGCCAGGCACTGGTGGGCTCATGGGCACCTGCTAAATTGTCATGGGAGTTGAAGGATGGTCCTACTAGAAAGCTGAGGCTTCCCTGGTGTAAAGGATCTTTCCAGAGGGAAGTGTAGGAGCCAGAGGAGTAGTGTTACTTTGATTCTGACCAAACTTGTACCCCAAGACCCTGGCCTGAGTTACTGTGTAGCCTGAGGCCTCACCCCTTCAGCTCAGCCAGGAGAGAGCTTTTCATCACACGCTCCTATGCCCGGCCTTTCTCCTGGGAGGCAATGTGGAGCAGAGAATAGCTAGCCTTTGACTTTGACTACCCAGGGCCACATTTGGCTTCCACTGCTTATTTGCTGGGTCACTTCAGGCATGATCCTGAATGTCTTGAAGCCTCACTTGCTTTATAAAATGGAGTTGTTGACTGTAATAATGAATGATTATGAGAGTATTACTAAGTTAAAATGTGTCAAGTTCTTTTTTTTTTTTTTGGCCAGTCCTGGAACTTGAACTCAGGCCTGGACACTGTCTTTGAACTTCTTTTGCTCAAGGCTAGCACTCTACCACTTGAGCCACAGTGCCACTTCCAGCTTTTTCTGTTTATGTGGTACTGAGGAATTGAACCCAGGGCTTCATGCATACTAAACAAGCACTCTACCATTAAGCCACATTCCCAGCTCCCAGTGTGTCAAATTCTTAGCCCAAGATCTGGCTCCTAGTCCCAGGTCCATGTAGCAGGAAGGAAGAGGGCCATCAAATGTCATGATGGGTGGTGATGGCTCATGACTCTAATCCTAGTGACTCAGGAGGCTGATATCTGAGGATCCTGGTTCAATACCAGCTTCAACAGGAAAGTCTGTGAAACTCTTTTTTTTTTTTTTTTTTTGTCGGTCGTGGGGCTTGAACTCTGGGCCTGGGCGCTGTCCCTCAGCTCTTCAGCTCAAGGCGAGCGCTCTACCACTTGAGCTACAGCGCCACTTCCGGTTTTCTGGTGGTTTATTGGAGATAGGAGTCTCACGCTCTTTCCTGCCCAGGCTGGCTTTGAACCGCGATCCTCAGATCTCAGCCTCCTGAATAGCTAGGATTACAGGCGTGAGCCACCAGCGCCCGGCTCTGTGAAACTCTTATCTCCAGTAAACTACTTGGAAAAGCCAGAGTAGTGCTGTGGCTCAAAGTGGCAGAGCAGTAGCCTTAAGCAAAAGCACTCAGGGCCAACACCCAAACCCCAAGTTCAAGCCCACAGTCAACAAAAATAAGAATGAAAAGAATAATGGCTTTGTACCAGAGAGAGTGCTGAAGAATTGGTGACAAGGTCTTGTCCAACTTCCTTTTCCTGTGTTGCCACTTTTCTATATACCTTGTGAGCTCATCTTTCTCTGATCTCTCATTTCCTCAACTTGGCAATATTCAGCTTTCCCCAAGAACTGTCTTTTAAGATTCACATTTTATTTATCTTTTCAGATAGCCCCTACAAACTTCAAAATAGGCAGCAAAGTGCATCATACATGGGGGAAGCCTTTACTCTAGGCTCTAGCATTGCAGTCATCAAGCAACATGGCTAGATCTTAGGTGTTTTCCTACAGATGGTCTGTGTACAGAGAAACAGTCCATTCATGGTTTTCCACTTAAAGGAAAGCTGCCTCTGGAGGCGGTTTTCTCTCAGAAGTTCTCAGCCATGGACTATGAATTGGTTGAGTGGGTCTGGTTTGGGGAATTATAGTTGGCAACCCTAAGAACCCCAAACTTTCCTAGTCCCTGCCACCTCTCTGGTGAGTGAATAAGGGATGTGACATGGCAGAGTGAATCAAAGTCATCTTTGGGTATTCTGGTATGAATCAATACTCCAGCGGGACCAAAAGTGGAAATTCTCCAAGAAATGTAACTCCAGCCAGGAGCTAGTGGCTCACGCCTGTAATCCTAGCTATTCTGGAGACTAAGATCTGAGGATCCTCATTTCAAGCCAGCTCAGACAGGAACGTTCGTAAGACTTTTGTCTCCAATAAACTACTCAGAAAAAGCTGGAAGAGACCTGTGGCTCTGGTGGTAGAATGCTAGCCTTAAGCCCAAGAAGCTCAAGGATAATGCCAAGGCCCTGAGTTCAAGCTCCAACACACATACACACACACACACACACACACACACACACACACACACACACACAGAAATGTAACTAGATAAGTAGCTCATTTATTTGCCAACCCAGGGGGCCCCAAGACAATTATCTGAATATGAGGTTACTGTTCACATGGAGAATAAATACATGGGAGCTTATTCACAGGTTCTTATGGTCATGGGTAGGTTTTCTCCAGGGCTTCATGAATGCTTGGCAAGCACTCTACTACTTAGCCACATTCTCAGCGACTGCCCCCCCTCCCCCCTTCCCGCCAACCACTAGTTTTGAACCACAGTCCTCAGATCTCTGCTTTGTGAAACAGCTAGGATTACAAGCATAGCCACCAGTGCCCAGCCCTCTCCTCTTCGTGTGTCTTTTAAGAATCTACTTGTGATATGTACCCTTTCTTTTTTTTAATGTTTTTTTAATGTGAAAATACTGTTTAGAGGGGTTACAGTTACATGAGCAAGGTAATGAGTACATTTCTTATCTAGCATTGTTGCCTCCTCCTTTGTTTTTCCCCTACCCTGCCCTCCCATCTCCACGACTACACTCCCCCTCCTCCCCCAATATGTGCCCTTTCATGTGCTTCCTAGGTAACAGGTTTTGTGGACTATGGCTAATATATTGTTTCATATAACAGCTAAGAATATGGAAATCTGGCTGCTCATGCATTTCTAGTACTCTGATCACAGATTGACTTTCATCGCAGAGAGTGAATCCATAGGAAGCATTCTACAGGAAATATACAGAAAATGACACATGAAGCTGCCCTTTGACTCCTCACTCCCATGCTTGTTGCCTGTGTCTGAAGAACTGGCCATCTTCCTGGTACGTCTATTTGGTTGCCCAGGTCTTGTATTCCAAGGTGGGGATCCTGCCAGAGATACAAGTTTTCTGGATGCGGTTTTGGGGGTGTGTTGTATAACCTGTACCTTTGTTGCACCCAGAACCTTCAGTTTTGCACTTGATACCTGCACTATTTTAATATGTAAAAGCCATCATGGAGAGGAATCACTGCCTTATTAGCATACTCCTTTTTTTCCTCCATTTCCTGGGCCACAGTGTCCTTAACAATCTGCAGCCCCCTCAATTCCTACTCTCTGTTGCATTTATTTAACAATCTGTCTGCCAGTGACAGCTCAGCTG